TGGGTGGGGTCCGCGCCGACCAGTGCAGGGGCAATCAGTTCTTCGATAGCAGCGACACAGCCACGACTGGTTTCACCGCTCCAGCGAGGTGCGACCGTTGCTTCACCCAGACCGACTAAGTCCGTATCGGTATGGATACGAACGATGACGTAAGGCGAGTTGATATGTTCGCCGTGGGCGGTCTTTGTTGTCAGACCTGCCTTCAGGGGAACTCGGACGGGGATCGGTTCAATCTGTGTGATTCGCATGGGAAGCCTCTGTTTGCGTAGGGGCGTGGCTGTACTATGGTAGATTTTAGAATTACTTAGACACTTCCAATGCACAGTCAACCCCCTAAATCCCCCTTATCAGGGGGACTTTGGAAAATTCGCTAGGGTCGGAGTTATTGGTAAATGTCTACTTATTTCTTGCGTTTACTATAAATACGTGGTGTGTATATCAGCCGATGTATAAATCAGTAGCTATGTGCTACGACAATGCCCACAGCCAAATTATGTCCCGTCTGAAATCAATTGAGCTGAATGAACTGTTTCCAATTTTCGTAGATAATGTTGTGAACCGCTTCCTCAGGAAACCGCGGGAATTTGGTTCCCTCGACAATATCGTTTACCTTATGCTGCCCGGCGATAACCTGTTCCGGAGTCGCGAGGGAAAATCGGAACCGAAAATCAGCTTGTGCTCTACCCCGTACTCAAGTGCTGTAATGAACGCTTGATAATGCCGCCACGGACGATAATGGAGTGCGGAGATGTCGACGTACAGATTGGGATGCTTGCGAATCAGTACCACGCAGTCAGTCTCCCACGGATGCCCCATGTGTGCGATGATCATGCGAAGGTTCGGACAGGCGACTGCGATGTCTTCCAACATAACTGGATTGGAGTATTTCAACGGTCCGGGGCGAACAAAGGAGGTGCCCTGATGCCAGATCACCGGTATGTCCAATGCTTCAGCTTTTTTGAAAAGTGGCAGATGTTTTGTATCCTGCGGATCAAAGTTCTGATAGATTGGTGCGACTTTCAGTCCGCGAAGCCCAAGTTCTCAACGTTGTACACAAGTTGATCCACACAGTCCTCATCGTTTGGATCGACCGAACACCAGCCGATAAAGCGGTCTGAATGCTGGTTGACAAAATCCGCGACCAGTTCCTGCGGGATATTGATGCCGCAGAAAGGTGCTTTCAGCCCGAACACAACAACCTTATCGCAATCCTTGGTTGCTTCAAGTAGGGTTTCAGGCGTAGAGTCGAAGGCATTCTTTTCCTCTTCCTCCTCACCGGCGAAGTAAACGTCCGGCGTAATCCGCATCTTTGCTTTCTTGGCGGCAAGCGCGAATTCGACAAATTCGTCGGAATAGTGATCGGGATACCAACCGAGATTCGTGTGAATGTCAACAAGCATTAAAACACTCCTTACTGTTTTGGTCTTTTTTTCAGCCAATCCTGCATAAAACGACAATCAGCTGAATTGGAGAGGTATGCTATCACACCTCCATGAGGAAGTCAATTGGTAAGATCGGGATTCTAGGGGTGTTTAGTTTTCGGCTTTCTCCGTGTCTGAGTCGGGATTCGGAAATCCCTCCTACAGGAGCACTACCTGCACATGTGTGGTTGAATCACAGGCGCGCCACCCAGCGGCGTAATTGCAACTCCAAATCGTCAGCAACATCCCCATAATCTGCTGACCACATTGTGCTGATCATACGGATCTGACGCCCGATCGTACAGTTCGGCGGGTGCATTATTCTCCAGTGGGACGTGCAACCGCCACGCCGTATCTTGAATCGACCACGAGCGATCATAGTGACCTGTGTAGGCATAGTCGCGAACACGATCTGTCTCACCACGAATCAATGGCGCGAGGCTATGGCCATGCAAGGTAACCGTTTCCGACCCCAGTTGCATGTCCTGCGGGAAGAGCTCCGTGGTCGGACGCGGTCCTGTGCGGGACAAGGTCAAGTTTTTGCCGATGCCAAGTAGATCTAAGATAGTGGGAAACAGATCAGTCGGCTGAACAAGCGCGTCAATCACGCCGTTATTGGGGGATCCTAGGGCGTCTGGCAGACGAAACACCATCGGAATCCTCACCAGTTCTTCATAGTTCCACGGTCTCGCCTTACGGATGATTCCATGTTCCCCAAACGGTTCGCCGTGATCGCTGAGCCAGACGACCAGCGTATTTTCGAGCAATCCCAGATCGCGCACATAATCCACCAACATCCCTGCCCACTTGTCAGTAAACGTGACCTCCCCTGCGTAGAGCGAACGGACACGGACGATCTCATCAGGCGTGAGATAGTCGTGTTCACTCTTGGCTTGCGGTTTCCCAGTCGAGGGACTGCCGATATTCGTACAGGTGCCTGCCACCGGATCGATGATGTCTTGTCCAGTGTAGTCGGCGGCTTTGTACATAGACCAGAACGGTTCGGGCGGATCCCACGGTTCGTGTGGATCGAAGTAATCTACCCAGAGGAAGAGCCCATCTTTTTTGCCCTGTTGGTTCACCATAGCGTCGAGCCAACGAATCGCTTCATGGGTCACACGCGGGGCAAAAAAATCATCCTCAGTCTGGCATGTGGAACGGTTTTTCATGTATTGCTCGAATCGAGGTGCCCATAGTGCATCGGTATCATCTCCGCGTAGGCGGTGCCAGATGTTCGTGTCAACGGTACGATCATCGACAATCCACGGATCATATTCCTGGCCACGCACAAAGACCGTCGTATCGAAACCGCGCCCTATGTTGTACACCGGCTTATGCCCATGGTACACATCGGTGACCAAGGCACTGGTATATCCGTGATTCCAAAGGACTTCGGCAAGCAGATAATCCGATTCCTGAAAAGGCTGCCAAGGACGGAACGGAACGCCGACACGTCCCGTCCACCATGTGGTGCGAGTTGGTATCGTGGGCAAGCTCTCGGCATAGCAGTGCGAAAAGAGAACGCCTTCCGCCGCGAGTCGGTCGAGGTTAGGAGTCGCGGTCTTCTTTATACCTTCGGCAGTATGATATTGGACGGCGTTGATACCCCCCACGCCGTCGTAGCAACCACAGTGATCTGCGCGTAGCGAATCATTGACAATGCAAATGATGTTCATTTCCGCCTCCTATATATAGAGTTAATGGGATTTAAGTTTACAAGCTCGGTGTATATTGTTTTAGGGATTACGCGGTTGAACGTTCAAACCCTCGTAGTTGGGTGACTCATTACCGGACAATACGACTCACGACGCCCGATGAATCGGGCAACTACAATTAGTCCCACAGTAGTAGGTAGGCTCCGCTGTACCGTAATTTGCACAATGGTTACGGCATACGGCGTATGCCTACTACCTTAAAGACGCGCAATGAATTGCGCTACTACAAACTCGAGTGCGTAAGTCCTATTGTTTCTTAGTTTGACAAGTCAACCGAATTGTTGGAGCAAAATGCAATCGTTCAGCAAGTGCCCTGTTCTTCGGGGTTGCAAGGAGAACAGTGTTCAAGTCTTTCTAGAATCACCACACGGCAGGTAGAACACCGTATAGGAACAAATTCCAACATCTTATATTGTAGAGGGAGGTGTGATTTCAGTCAACTCAAAAGCCTGCGTAGATTGAAAGATTCCACAGACAAAACCCACCGCAACCGGCATCAGGCGCACTCTATATTTGACACGGTTCTTTGTGTCCAGTATAATACCATATAGTCTATCTATACCTGCTCTGCGGAAGGAGGACAAGTCAGAATGTACAAAAAACAGTATCCAGGACCCAATACGGATGTCGAGGAAGCCTTGGCGAGAGTTTGCACCGGTCCGCACCAGACCCGGCCCTTGGGGGCAAAGGCGGGGGATCCAATCAAACCCTCGGAGATCCTTGAAATCATTCTGCGGTCAGTCAAAGGGGAATTGTCTCATGATCAAGCGGCGTCAGAGGCTCAGATGGGGGCATTTTTCGCCGGGATGACGATTCGGAAGGGTTTCCCAAAAAAGACGCAGTGGAGCGACGCCGAGATTGCGGCTTTCGACAAGTGCCGCCTGGATTTGGAACGGCTTATGCCTCCAGAGATCAGGTTTATCATGCAACCGGAGTTGGGGCATACCGATACAAATCCCGATGAAACTGTCGTCGTAAAAGCCCTCGAAAAGATCTTGAGAGGCGGTCACTTGAGCTACGACGAAACGCGTCGGATGGGAAAAGCTATCCTGAATGGAGATGTAAAGGGAGCACTGAAGGGGGCAGCCCTCATTGGTCAGCGCATGAACCTTGAAAGCTACGACGAGGTGCGCGGATATCTAGATGCGACTTTCGGTCCTGAGCAGGTTCGCGAGGTTTCCGTTGATTCGCTAACACATTTCGGTCAACCTTTCGATGGTGCGACACGATACTTCAGGCCGACGTTGTTTGTCGCAGCTGTACGCGCTGCGTTAGGTGAGCCATCGGTGCTGCACGGCGTTGATGAGATGCCGCCGAAAAGCGGAATCACGGAGGAGCGGGTTCTGCAGGTAGTCGGTGCCCGCACGGATCTCTCCCTTGACGAAGCGACAAGTTTAATCGAGGATCCAGCGGTTGGGTTTGCTTACATGAGTCAGCGCGAATACGCACCCGGCGCATACGACGTTCGAGAGCTACGGGTGCATATTAAAAAGCGTCCGCCTTGGGCGGCGACGGAGAAAGCGCAGCAACTGTTCACAGCTTCCGGTGCAAATTATATGGTGATTGGGTATTACCACCCCGGCTATGAAACGCCGTTGCTGCAGTTGATATGGGAGCGCGGTTTTCAAGCAGGGCTTGTGGTCAAAGGTGAGGAGGGAACAAGCCATTACGCCTTGCGTTTGGGGAATCCCTCGACGGAAGAACGACAAGCGATAAATTATTCCCAAGGGTTTCGGCGTGTCGGTGGACGACGTGAGGATTTTTCACTAGACATAGATCCGTCAGAATTCGGATTCAATTACGAGAAAAACCCACGCATAGAAACGATAAGTCCTGAAGCATTTGCATCGGCGGGAATGGAGGCATTATCCGGTCAGAAAGGACAGATATATGATCGGCTGGTGCTCAATACAGCGATGACCGATTACCTATTAGGGTTTTGCTCGAATCCACACGAAGCCATTGAGCGGACGAAGGAAGCGATTGATAGTGGGCGCGCCCTAGCGCATCTGAAAACGTATATCGCGAAAAGCCACCTTTAAGCCCGATGCCGGTGCGAATTGGTTTGATACTGCCCCCGATTGTTTCGTCGTGGTGTCTTCAGTCGCTCTTTCGTTGAGGTATGCAACACAATGATTCAAGAATCTTATAAAATTTCATTCGGTGTCAAAAAGCCCCCAAGAAAACGCGGCAGAAACTTCTAAGTCATCGATCGGATGCCACGCCCCAAAGTTTGCGGGATTGTTGCAGATTTTGGGACGTTTTTGCTGCTAAGAACCTTGAGACAAATCTAAATGCAATGGCAAGTGCGCTATCAAGTTCGAGAATTTTTTCGGGCGAGAGCGTTCCGACAAAATTGGTCAAGTTAGACTTGAGAATGCTAATCAGTTCGTCACAATGAATACTGCTGTCGTGCTTGAAACCTTCGTCAATGCCGACGGATACTTGAGTCGGCAATCCATGATGTATCGAGTAGATTGGGGCACAGATGACGGTCGAGAAACGAGAATCGATGAGAATCTGGCGACTTACGACAACAAACACACGTGACCGCCTTGGATCCCGTGGGCTGGGCTTGAACACGCGATACAACTCTCCTCGTTTCACCATTTCACCTGATAGGATAGGATATCAGTAGCTTCCTCGTTCAATTCGTCGGCAAATTGGTTTAGAATCTCAAGTTCTTTTGCCGCATCGAACCTTCGTGCTTTTGCAGCTAAAAAATCGCGCAGAACCTGTTCCACAAACGCCGACCGATTCCCAGATTGCCCCAGTAATGTATCAATTTCTTTGATTAAGTCCTCGGATAAAGTGATTGATGTTTTGACTTTCATACAGTCAGTATAGCCGATCAACCTTCGTATTGTCAAATAGTGATTTAAGCCGTAATCGCTTCTAAAACGGGTTTCGGATTTCGTAACAAGACTGTCTTTACGCTTGGCTCATGTTAGGAGATCGTGCAACTTGGACTAAGCGGAGGTAAATCGAAGATTTACGTAGAAAACAACAATCGTTGTTCCCTACGACTTTGGTCTTAGTCCGAAAGGAGTTTTTCGATAAGAATTGGAGATAAGCTGAACACCGGCTGAAACTTGGGTTATTTAGCGAGAGCATATCCGTTTATTCACACCTCGACGACCCAAGGCGTTCGTTCCGGATTGACTCCGTGATGTTCTGCCCAATCTGTCAAGGCTTGGGGCGGTGTATCAACGTTCCGATGCGCGCCTAAAAGCTGTTTGTCGATATCGTTGTCAGTTCGTTCTATTACCCGTTCATCCGGCGGATCAAGATTGACATCAACCTTCATCCAGCGATAGGCGTAGCCGTAGATTATTACCTTTGAGATGGAATCGCTCAAGTTGGGTGCCGCGGTATGGAAAATCCGATTTTCAAAAAAGATGGCATCACCGGCGCGTAAACACGGATCGACCACTGTCGGCGGATCGGGATCCCCCTCGCGAATAGCCAACGGCTCACCACTCTGATGGCTTCCGCGTGCCATCAACGTCATACCGGAGTTAGTCTCAAGAAAGTCCGTCAGGCAGTAGCAGACCTTTATTCCGACTCGCGGCAAGCCTTTGTGTCCAAGGTCCTCTGCAATACCGATGTCGCGGTGCCATCCGCGGTCGGGAGGCGTCGTGTCAGGAGGTTGGGGCTTCTTGTAGATTAGTGAAGTCGTGTGGAGATGGATATTGGGACTGAGTAACTGAACGACCCGTGAAACAGTAGTCGAGTTAGAAACGAGCGAGTCGAATGCCTCTTCCTGCACGATCCCGTCGCGGCGTTGCAGATAGACGCTTTTCGGATCATCCATGAATGATTTCATCAATCGATCTCCCGCTTCAGTCAGATGGGTAACGGTCTCGGCATCAAGAGCTTGCGGAATAATAAGAAAACCATCTGCATCAAAGTCCCGGCGTTGTGCCTCAGTCAGTTGAAAGAAATCCATTAAGTTATAAGCCTCCTCTAATCATAATGTATACACCAAGTTCCACGCCTCGCCGTAAGTACGGAATTTGCCCAATGTTATCACCGCACTTCAGTCGTGTCAAGAGAATTTGAAGGGTTCTGTTGGGCAGATGAATGGAAACTTTTGTGAATCTCTATTGACCTCATGAAAATCTTGACTTTTCTGTTAATCTTTGCTATGCTAGTGTTTAATGTGATTTGATTCGTGTGAAGTTCCTTATGAGACTGTGCAGATCAAGTCTGCCTTACTTCTATATGCAATCAAGGTTTGCTCCGGCGAACTTGAGACAGAGTCTGTGACCCCAACAACGAGGAAAGAGGTAGTAATGCGAAAACGTATTCTGCTTACCGCTTCCGTATTTGCTATACTGCTGCCACTCTCCACTTGGATTGGTTGTGCCGCTACAAGTGGTGGCGGTAATATGATGGAGGAAAAGGAGCAGGTCGCTGTGATAACGACGGATAAAGGAAAAATTGTAATTGAATTATATCCAGACTCAGCACCTGCTACTGTTGATAACTTCAGAAAGCTAATTCAGAAAAAGTTCTACGATTGGCTAACATTTCATCGTAGAGTGGACAAACCAGGCCTGAATATTATTCAGGGAGGCGATCCGGATGGGGATGGAACGGGAGGGCCCGGATATACCATCATTGATGAACATACCAACCCGAACCAAGTTCCTCATCAACGAGGGGCAATTGCCATGGCAAACACAGGCAACCCCAACTCGGCAGGAAGTCAGTTTTATATCTGTCTAAAAGCGCAGCCGTTCTTAGACGGCCGGTACACAACGTTTGGTCAAGTTATTCAGGGTATGGAGGTCGTAGACCTGTTGAGGGTCGGCGACGAAATGAAAAAAGTTCGATTGGAGGCGAAGTCAAAATATGTTACTTCAGAATAAAAACCGACGAAGCTACATTGAACGTTTTACTGTGATGCTTCTCGCAGCATTGTTTACCGTATACCTTGTAAGTTGTTCGCAGGAACAGAAGGGTCCACCAAAGCCGAAGGCACGTCCGACAGTATCGGCTGACACGACGCAAACAACCAAATCAAAAATTGACATCCACAAAGCTGTGGCTGTTATTGAGACAGCCAAAGGAGCAATTGAGGTCGAGTTTTTTGCGGACGTTGCACCCAAAACCGTGGAAAACTTTCTAAAGAATGCACGGTTGGAATATTATAATCATGGGAAATTCCATCGCGTTGAGCCCGGAAAACTGATTCAAGCCGGGTCGCGTTTTCCCATTGAGGACACGATAGCGATTGAGACAAGTGAACGCGCACCGGTGAGAGGAATCCTCGCTATGGCAAAGGAAGAGGGAGCGACTGTCGCAGATGCCACCCAATTCTTCATCTGCCTCGACACGATTATTTTAGACAGCGACTACACCCTGTTTGGGCAGGTTACGAAAGGGCTGGATGTGATCGACAGCATCGCGGTGGGCGACCAGATCTTGACCATCAAGATTCGTGAAAAAAGTTAAAAGTAAGCGAGGGTGCAAATGGGCAATGAGGACAGGGCATCGGCTGTCTTTCTTGCTCATTTGCATTTTTACAGATTTGCTCATTTCTTCCTGAAACCCATGTTGATTAAAAGAAAGGATTTTTTATGGCATTAACCATTATCCATACAGCCCGTCCGAGTCCGGTCTGGCAAGAGACTTATGTTCGCGTTAAAAAAGGACAACGCATGGTCATTGATGCACAAGGCGCATGGTCGCCTGACACACAGAATCGCATCTGCTGGTGTGGTGCCGATGGCATCGCCAATCTACCCGCTGAAGAGGGTTTCCTGATGCCCGGTGCCAACGTCGGCGCATTAATCGCAAAAATTGATGATATGGTGTTTGCGGTTGGGTCACGGTACGACAACGCCGCGCCGGCTGAGGGCGTAATCTTTCTCGCCATGAATGAAAATCCGGAACACAACAATCAAGCCGGATCACTGCCTGCACAAATCATTATCTTCGACGAATAAGCAATATTCACTATCACTAACCCAAGTTGCTATTATCAAATCTGCTCGGCTCCGACTTCGCCGAGAGTCCAAGCCCCCGATAAGATCGGGATCCAAAGCGGCTTGGATAGGCATATCCAAGCCGTACTCGCAGATGTGCAGTGGATTTGGCAATCCACTGCGAGCGGTGATTGATTCAATTTATGGTAGATTTTAGAATTACTTAGACCCTCCCAATGCACAGCCAACCCCCTAAATCCCCCTTATCAGGGGGACTTTGGAAACTTCGTGAAGGTCGGAGTTATTGTAGATGTCTACTTATTTCTCTAATTCACCATAGTTCTCATTCTCCCGGTTTGTAACATTTTCTATAAGTGGCAACTTGCGTTATGATAGAGTAGCAATCAGGAGGTGCGCAGATGGCAGAAGTATCAAAGGAATCTACTGCAGACAGCACCCAATCCACCGGACAAGAACGAACCCAATTGCCGCCCGTTGATTTTTCTGCCTTCATTGCAGAACTTGGGACGACGGCGCTTGCCTACCTCGGAGGGTTTCAAAATCCGGAGACAAAGGAGATTTTGGTCGATCTCGAAATGGCAAAACGGACAATCGACACAATTGATCTCCTCAAAGAGAAGACAAAGGGCAACTTAACTGCGCCCGAAAGCAATCTGTTGGATAATACGTTATACAACCTCCGGATGACCTATATACGGATAGCGAACAATCCTCCACCTCCCCCGACGCCGGAAACCTCAGAATCGACAACCGAAGCACCATCGGAAGAGACGAAGCCGGAAAGTGAATAGAAGGAGGGGCAGAATGGATATCGGTTGGAAACGGAAGGCTGCACAGACTGAAACCGTTCGCTCCCCTGCTGTCGCTGGCAGTTTCTATCCGGATTCGCCGCAGGTCTTGTCTGCTCAGGTGGGAAAATTCATTGATGATGCGGCGTTGAAAGAAACCAACGGCGAACTCATCGGGCTCATCGTGCCTCATGCCGGTTACGTCTACTCTGGTCATGTCGCAGGATACGCGTACAAGCAGTTGATGGGGCAGTCTTTCGACACGGTGGTGCTTGTCGGATTAAGCCATCGCTACCCAATCAGCGGCGCAGCGATTTATGCGCGTGGCGCGTTCCGCACACCGCTTGGGGATGTCCAAATTGACGAAGATCTCGCGATTGAGATTATGCGTCTGAACAGCGAGATCATCGACCTGCCACCGGCGCATGCAAACGAGCATAGCCTCGAAGTGCAGCTGCCCTTTCTACAGTACCTCCTCTCCGACTTCCGTATCGTTACCATCTTGTTGCAAGATGATTCCCCGGAAAATGTCATTCCCTTGAGCCAAGCGATTGCAGAAGCGATGGGCGATCGATCCTGCCTGCTGATTGGGAGCACCGATCTCTGTCACTATCCTACCTACGAAGAAGCGCGAAGATCAGATCAGGTTGTTATTGAAGCGATTGAGTGCTTTGATCCCGACTACTTGCGCAATCAAATGGATGGATATATGCAGCGTCAGCCTGTCCAGGATCTTCACTGCATGATGTGCAGCACCGGCGCAATCTATACGACAATGCGAGCGGCGAAAGCGTTGGGTGCGAATCGGATTGAGGTGCTGGAAGCAGCAAACTCCGGCGATGTTCCCATCGGGGGGCGGGATCAGGTGGTTGGATATATGGCGGCGGGGATTTATCGGTAAGTTGGAGGATAAATGACAACCTTAGCGCGTTGCTGCGTGTGCAGTTTTATCATATTCACTTACTGGTGCAGCACTGTCTCTGCCCAACTGGTAAACATCTCCGACCCAAACCTCAGAAGTGCGGTCAGGGAAGTCCTCGAACTCTCCGACGAAATCCCCCTCACCCAACAGGAGATGCTACGATTAACTAGGTTAGAGGCATCTAAGAGGCAGATAAAAGACCTTACTGGATTGGAACATGCTACCAATTTGACAGGGCTTAATCTTCATCAAAATAGCATTGACAACCTCAAGTCATTGGCTGAATTAACCCACTTAAAAAGCTTATCACTCTGGGGCAATCCGGTATCGGATCTTTCCCCGCTAGCAAACCTAACAGAGTTGACAGGTCTTGACTTGGGTGCCTGCCAGATTTCAGACATCGTACCATTGGCTAACTTGACGCAGTTGAAGTGGCTACACCTTCATAACAATCAGATTGAAAACATTATTTCACTGACCAAACTAACACGGCTTACTGATTTGTGGTTGCAAAGCAATAAGATTTCGGATATTACGCCGCTAGCGAATTTAGAACAGCTGACAGAATTGGCGTTATCTTACAATTGCATTGTAGATGTTAGCCCACTTGTAAACTTACGTAAATCTGGTGGATTTGAAACTCGCTGGCAATTCGATCAGAAATTTCAGTCCACTGCTTGAACTCAACTTGAAGAACGTTGATATTGATATCCACATGTTGCAAGAACTTCGTCCGTAGAGGTGGAGATACCGATCCCAATTTGGAGCGTGTCATCCGAGAGAAACTGGGATTATCTGATGAGACACCCTTCACGCAGCTAGTGATGAAACAATTAACAGATCTAGATGCCGGTAATAGCGGAATAAAAGATCTAGCAGGGTTGGAATATGCTACCAATTTAACCGGACTCAGTCTCAATCAAAATAAGATTCGTGATCTCGCTCCGTTAGCCGGATTAACCCGCCTAGAAGGTTTATCACTCTGGGGCAATCCAATATCAGATCTCTCTCCACTGGCGAATTTAACCCAATTAAGAGGTCTTGATTTGGGAGTTTGTCAAATTTTGAACATTGCTCCACTTGCCAACTTGACGCGGTTGGAGTGGCTACATCTTCATAACAATCGGATTGAAGACATCACACCGCTGGCAAAACTGACATGGCTTACCGATTTGTGGTTGCAGAGCAATCGCATTGTAGACGTTAGTCCGCTTGCAAATTTAACCTTGTTGAAAGAACTGAGGATTGACAACAATCGGATTACAAATCACAGTCCGCTCAGTGAACTGTCCATAAACCGTTTTTTCTTCGATGAAATCTGTGAATTACCAAAAATTCCAATTCGAGAACGGCTGCAAAATCGGAGATTTCCTTCTTTTTTTCAAGCATGGCACGGTATCATAAATCGGCCGGCACTATCGTATGAGGCCCGAGTCGCGCAGCATGATTTGCATTGGACTCCCGGGTTTGGGCTACATTGGTTAGAAACAGACCAAGGGATTCAGCTAGCAGGATATCTCGACAGGGCACTTCAGCAGCGCGATGCATTGCTTGCATCAAACCCTAATATTATTTTTATTCGTGGAATTCCTATGAGAGATGCAGGGCAGGAGGCCTTTCCTGAAGAGTGGCCATATTGGCTAAGAGATGCTGCGGGGAATCGGGTGCCAGATGAGAGATGGAAGTCGTTTTTGATAGATTTTACGCTTCCCAATGCACAGGAGTGGATTATTCAACACGCACTTGCTGCCTCAAAATGTGGATTATACGATGGAATTTTCATTGACTGGTGGAGCGAAAATTATCCCTCGCTTGGAAATCCGCAGACTGGGGAGATATACCGAACTTTGGAAGTTGAGCTGCGTGCAAGAAACTCAATTCTTCAGCGCATACGGGCTGGGGTTGGCGATGACTTTTTGATAATAGTCAATTCCAATCGGCGCAAACCACTGCAGGCCGCCTCCTACATCAACGGTCTCTTTATGGAGACACTTCGGGATTATGATGGAGGCTACAGACACGATGGCCTTATTGAGATTGAAAGCACCCTGCTCTGGGCGGAGGAACACCTTCAAGCACCGCAGATAAATTGCTTAGAAGGTTGGGGAGTTCCTACCCAATCCCCGGATAGTCCCACGAACCGCAGATGGATGCGGGTGTTTACAACGATGAGTCTCACTCATTCTGATGGATATGTTGTTTACAATACTGGTGTGGGTACTCCGGGTCATGACCACGACCACTACTGGTACGATTTTTGGGATACAGATCTGGGCGAAACCTGTCGGTCCCAAAGCCCAACCGTACCAAAACATTCCCGGCTTATTTATCCGGGAATTCACCAACGGCTGGGCGGTCTATAACCGCAGTGGAAACGCACAGGAAATCTCCCTATCCGAATCTGCTATTTCTGTAGGGAACGGAGATCTCCGTTCCGCCACCACCTTCCTGCTCTCCGACCTTGACGGCGAAATCTATCTCACAACCAAAAGTTTCGCTGATGTCAACGACGATGGGAGTGTCAACGTCTTGGATTGGTGCAGGTTGCCAACGGTTTCGGCAAATCCGCCTCGGACCCCAACGGCGATGGGGTGTCAACATTCTTGATTTGGTCTTTGTCGCCAGCCATTTCAGTAAATAATAACGCAAGTTGCCATCTGTTACCCTAGTGAGAGTTTAAAATGAACGGAACGGAGATTTGCGTTGGGTTAAAATAAGTAGAACCATTGTGGTGAACAGATGGCAGATGTGATATAATAATTCGATATTGAGAAAAGGAGAACCAGTATGGCTCAAAAAATTCCTTTCATGAAACTAAGCTGGCGCAGGCAACGACTTCGTCATCATTGATAACCGTAAAGGCGTTGTCCAATACGAAAATACCGATTTTGTCGAAAAGGTTTGCCAACGCCGGATGTCTGCCGGTGCAGACGGTGTGCTGCTTGTCGAAAATACGGATAAAGCGGATTTCCGAATGCGCTACTTCAACGCGGACGGCGGCGAAGCGGAGACCTGCGGAAATGGCGCGCGTTGTATCTCAAGGTTCGCCTATATTAATGGCATCGTTTCGGAGAGGATGTCCTTTTGAGACGCAAGCGGGAATCTACGAATCAGAAATTCTCGGCGCAGACGTCAAGGTTCGGATGAGCGATCCAACGGACGTTCGATTGAACTTTCCGCTTCAGTTGGAAGATGGCGTCCACAACATCTCTTTCGCCAACAGCGGCGTTCCCCATGTCCTCTTTTTCGCTGAAGATTTGGAGGGAACGGATGTGTTCGGGCTTGGCAGGCAGACGCGCTACCACGACGACTTCAAACCTGCGGGGACAAACGCCAATTTCGTTCGGGTCAAAGATTCTCAAGCGATTGACATCCGCACCTATGAACGCGGCGTCGAAGATGAAACGCTCGCCTGTGGTACGGGCTCTATTGCCGCTGCGGTTGTCTCTGCCGCGCTAGGGAAAGTCACGTCCCCGGTCGCTGTGAAGACTGCGAGCGGTTCGGTGCTGACCATCCATTTTGACCTAGTGAACGGTGAACCGGAAAATGTCTATCTGGAAGGGGATGCCCGAATCATCTATGCGGGTGAACTCACAGAGGACGCTTGGGTGTATTAAAGGGATTTTCGTCGGGGTAATTCGATTATCTTGGCAACCGTAGTCTTTTTTTGGAGGACAAATGAAGAAAGTCTTATTGATCATTAACGGTCCGCATCCCCCTTTTAGCGCGTTTGCGGATATGTTTAAGCCGTTGGTGAAGTGCCGGGCAGTTTGAAGTGGAGATTAGCGATGACCGCAGCCGGTTGACGGATCCCTCTGCGTTCGATGCAGTCGCACTATACATTGGCGGCGGAGAAATTACGCCCGAAGTTGAGCGTGGGTTGACCGGGTATGTCAGAGGTGGCGGTGGATTGCTTGCGGTGCACGGTGCCAACGCCGGGCTCGGACAGTATGATGACTACATCGAACTCATCGGCACGGAGTTTATCCAACACGACCCGTTAGCACCGTTTGAAGTGACAACGGAAGATGGGTTTGACGATATTCTCCCGCGCCTCAACAAGCAGTTCCGCATCGTAGATGAGTGTTATCAGATGAAGGTTCGCACGGACGCGCCCTTGCGTTATTTTCAATACGGTGCGTGGCGACTCCAAAAATATCCGCTCGGCTATGTGCGCGACTACGGTGATGGGAAGGTATTTTACACCGCGCTTGGACACGATACCGCGCCTTCGGACATTCGGACTTTCAAGATCAACTGCTCAAAGGGCTCCGCTATGTGACCGACCTGAAGGATAACCCACCGATCCGCATCGGCTTAGTGGGCTACGGTCCGCTGTTCAATATGGGCAGCCATCACGCCGGTATGATTGCACAGACCCACGGATTTGAGTTGGCAGCTGTATGCGATAGGGATCCTGACCGCCTCCGTGCTGCGAAAGAGGAGCAAGGTGATGCGATTGCCACTTTCACTGATGCACAGGAGATGGCAGAGAGTGGCGAAATCGATCTGGGTATTGTGATTGTGCCGCATGTCTATCACGCCCCGGTTGCGAAGATCATGTTGGAAGCGGGGTTGCACACCATCACCGAAAAACCGTTTGTCGTCCACGTCTCCGACGCGGACGAGTTGATTGCGCTCGCACGCGAAAAGGGCGTTATGCTTTCGGTTTATCACAACCGGCACTGGGATCCGGATATCCTCACCCTCTGCGATGTCCTTGAATCGGGTATGATTGGCGAAGTGTATTCGATTGAATGTAACATGGTCGGCTACGGTGCACCCGGACAGATGTGGCGAGACCATAAGGAGATTTCGGGCGGGCTGCTGTACGATATGGGGGCGCATCAGTTTGAGAAGATCCTACAATTAGTCCCTCAACACGACCGAAATGGAAACCGCATCAATAAACGTGCGACGCTGTACGGTAACTTTCTCAAACAGCATTGGCAAGCCAGTTCGGTTGAAGATTTCTGCCGGGCGTATGTGCGATTTGACAGCGGCTTAGAAGCCCAACTCATCCAGTCGAATCTGCACGCGGCTGAGAAACCGCTCTGGACCGTAGTCGGTACACACGGCTCTATTGTGGTGGAAAATTTCCAAGGCGAAACCACCGTGACCTCCATTATGGGGGACGGGCGCAAAATGGTGTCCAGTTATCCAACAGTGACGAACCGGGGCTGGGGGACGTATTACAAGAACGTTTCGGACCATCTGCTTTCCGGGCAGCCCTTACTGATTACGCCGGAGTGGGCGAAGGGAACCATTCAGTGTATCGAGGGGTGTGAGACTGCCGCGCGTGAAAACCGGTTGGTGGAGATTGAGTTTGACTTTTAGTCTATCTGCTTCATCCTAAAAACTCCAGAGGTAAAATAGCTCGTAATAGGAATACCTCTGAATCTAAATAGGGATTTCATCATGCAGTATCGAACATTAGGGCGCACTCAGCTGCGCGTTTCAGAGATCGGATACGGGGGTGGGCGCGTGCGTCCCGACCAAGATGAACAAGCCCTTATCCGTATGCTTCATCACGCCTTCGACATGGGTCTTAACTACATTGACACCGCACCGACCTACGGGAACGGTCTCAGCGAAACCGTTATAGGGAAAGCGATTCAGGGACGTAGGGATGGGCTTATTCTCGCAACCAAAACGGAAGCCTTCGATCCGCAGGGAATCCTCGCCGATGTGGAAGGCAGCCTGACACGGCTGCAGACAGACGTGATCGATGTCTTGCAGTTTCATGGCGGCTGGCATCAGGAGGACGATGCCGACCGCATCCTAGAGCAGGGCGGGTTGGAAACTTACCAGAAATTGCGGGACCAAGGTAAAATTCGTTTTATTGGGTTCTCAGCAGATGGACCGTCAGGGGGCGTTGAGCGAATGGTTGCGTCCGGTGAGTTCGACATGATTCAGACTCACTACAATCTCATGTACCAGAGCACCTGCGACATCTTTGGCAATCGTGGGACGATACCGGAGGCGGTCGCCAAGGACATGGGGGTTGTGTTGATGCGTTCAACGACAAGCAACGCCTTCCAAAATCTGATGCAGCGGTGTTTTCCGACACAGATGGAGGGAGTCGATCTGGACAGCTTTCTGCTGAATTACGTCCTCTCCAATCCACTCGTTGATGTCGCGCTGATGAGCCTGCAAAGCGTTGACGATGTAGAATGGACTAATGCAGTCTCGGACGATGTTGAGCAGCGGCTAGATTTACAAGCAGTTCACGGACGGTAGGGGACGGAGATCTCCGTTCCTGTACGGATTGCAGATCTACCATCCCTACTCGTTCAATCCAGTTCTGATACCCATTCGTTGATAACCCGTGCCATCTCAACGAACACATCTTCGTCGGTGTTGCGAGAGCGTTTGAGAATCTTAAATCCGTGGTCAGCGGTATCCAAAAGATGCAGCGTCGCCTTGTCGCCGATTTGCTCGCAGGTGGATTGTAGTAGGTCGAGTTCACCCAATTTGTCGCGTGTGCCAGACAGGAAGAGCATGGGTATCGTGACATCGCTCAAGTGCGCTGCGCGTTCCGTCGAAGGCTTCCCAGACGGATGCAAGGGAAAGGCGAAAAACACCAAGCCGCGCACACCCTCTAGCGGTGCCTCTGCAGCAGCCATTGATGACATTCGCCCGCTGAAGGAGTGCCCGCCGACAAGAATCGACAAATCGCTTGCCGCTGTGTGCGCCGCTGCGACCGCTGAACGGACGGTCTCCTGACAGACAGCGTTTGCGTTTCGACCTCTCCCCTGTTCCGCATAAGGGAAAGTTGTAACGGAATGTAGCGATGCCAACGTCCGCCAATCGCTCGGCGATGGTCTGAAGGGTTGTGTGCCGCATATCTCGTGCTAGCACCATGCCCTAGCACCAACAGCCATTGTGCGTCGTCAGGGACGAATCAGCAACGACGACACTTCGCCCTGTTCTTCGGTTGCGACAAACTTGGATTCAACGACTTCATAGCTCATTTTCATAACCCCTCCCCGAGCATCCGATTTGTATGTTTTAATTCCCCTCCCAGCGACCTCGCACCGGTCCCTGCTGCGCTTGTTCAAACAGATCCTGCCACGCTTGGGATCCGTCGTCCGGCTGCGCTTCTAAACGCACACCTTCTACATACGCGGGGCCATGCCCGGCACTGAAGTAGCCATATCCTTGGCTGCTATAGCCCATGTGAATGCAACTGCCATCCGGGTATACGATGGTGTTAATGATACGTGGTTTCGGGCGGTCGTAGATTGCGCCGGTCGCTTTTAATTCTTGGAGTATATCTTCGGAGACTCTATACTTCTCAACCGCTTCTTCGTCAACCTCAACGCCTAACCCAGGACCGTCCGGCACCTTGTGATACCCACCGATAACCTCAATCTCCTTTTTCAACAACTGATGGCTATAGAGATTTATGCAGGTAATCGCGGGCCAAGTGGCATGGGTCAAAACCGAACCGAGATGAGCAGCCCAAGTCGTGGTCAGTCCATTGCCTACCAACTGCAGCCAGAAAGGCATCTGCGCTTCAGCACTTAAAGTCCCTTGTTGTATGACGCCAGACTTTCCGACACCGATGACGTAGCCATCACAAACTCCTTCGCGGATATTTGTTATATAGGGCGGCGACCCGAAGTGCATTGCAATCGGCCGATTAATCGCCTGACGAATCTGCATATTCCCAAGCACGTCGCCCTGCGGGATGGGTGTCTCAAACATCGCCACGTTGGTATATTTTTCCAGTTTTTTGATGATGGGAATCGCCGCTGCCGCATTCTGCCAAGTACTGTTGGCATCGAGATCCAGCTTAAAGTGCGGTGGTACAACTTGAGCGATTGCATCGACCTGTGCAACGATGTCCCACCACGGTCGAGGCTTGAGTTTGATGCTGGTATAACCCTTTGCCACAGCATCTGCAGCCTCGGCAGCCCAATCTTCGGGGGAGGCATCGATAGACCACCAAGAGATCGGAACCCAGTCGCGTACCTGCGTCCCCATCAACTCGTAAGCCGGCACTTCCAGCACCTTGCCAACCACATCAAATAATGCCATCTGTAAGCCCGCTCCGAGAGAATCATCGTTCATCAATGTTGCGGGACTCTGCCCTTTCACCCGTTCAACGGCGTCGTCCGTCACCCTCGCCCAGGTGTAGTGAATCACAGTTTCGCCCCATCCGACATGTCCGGTATCCGTAGTTACCTTGCATAGCTCTAGAACCGCCCAGTTATATACCTCGCGCTCCGTGATCTTTTGCTGCCGTGGGGTAAATGGTACATCAACGATTATACGTTCTACATCTACAACTTTCATCCAATTATCCTTTCAAGCGAGTGCGTAAAAATGTTGAGACAATTTCATGTCAAAACTATCTGTCTTGCTGGTGATGTCCCCATCTTTATTTCTCTATTTCCTCTACTTCCCCTGATGTGGTAAAATTAGGGTGAATTCCTTTAATATGTCTTCAGTCCCAATTTTGGGAGTTTCGCGATTCTCCTCCCAAGGTTGAACCTAACCGGTTGGCTTTGAGGCTTGCTGATATTATAGGTATTTTCAGATCGACGTCAACAACAAAATATAGTGTACCTAATAGAGAGGAATAACTTATGCTGATAGATCGCATTGATGTTTACTATGTCAGTCTGCCCCTGATTTACCCTTGGCGCACTGCTTACGGCGAAGATCACGCTGTCGATTCGGTTCTTATCCGAATGGAATCGGACGGGCATGAAGGTTGGGGTGAGACCACACCGCTGAAGGCACCCGCCTACTCGCCCGAATCCACAATGTCGGCATACCACACGATAACCGAGTTTATTGCACCGTTATTGGTTGGGAAATCGTTTGATACGGCTGATGAATTACTTGCTGCGTACAAGTGGATCAAGGGAAACCCGTTTGCTAAAGCAGGTCCAGAGGTTGCTTGGTGGGTACTCAAAGCAAATATGGAAGGGGTGCCGCTGCACCAATTGCTAGGCGGCAGTTTTAGGAAGGTGGATGCCGGTGCCGATTTTGGTGTGCAGGATTCCATTGATATGCTTTTGGAGAAGATTCAGGGTGCCGTTGATGATGGCTTCAAGCGGGTCAAGCTCAAGGTGCGACCGGGTTGGGATCTTGAAATGTTGCAGGCGGTCCGCGCAGCTTTTCCGCATCAAACATTCCATATTGACTGCAACTCAGGATATGCGCTGGATGATCTCAATTTTTTCAAGCAGGTTGACAAGCTAGGGTTGGCGATGATTGAGCAGCCACTGTATCACAACGACCTATTGGAACACGCCGAGCTACAACGACAGATCGAGACACCGGTCTGTCTGGACGAGTCGATTACATCGGTACGCGCTTTTGAATGGGCATTGAAGTTGAAATCGTGTCAGATTCTTAATCTCAAAACGGGCAGAGTCGGTGGACTCTCCATCGCGGTGAAACTACACAACATGGCGCGTGATGCTGGCATCCCGTGCTGGGTGGGTAGTATGTTAGAGAGCGGCATCGGTGCCGGTGTCTTGGTCGAGCTAGCGACATTGGACAACTTCACCTATCCCGGTGACCTGTTCCCCAGTAATTTCTTCTATCAACAAGATTTGACGGAAACGGAGTTGATTTTGAACGATGATTGCACATTTATGCCGTCGCAGTCAGCTGGGACAGGGTATCAACCGGTCTTGGAGCGCGTTGAAAAGGCTGCACGATTCAGCCAGACATTTTTACCGGGGTCACACCGTTCATAAGTCGATGGTATTCAAGCCGTTCCGATTAAAACAGCATTAACTAGGCACACTCATGTTCTTTTATCTAAAACATCGATGGCAAATCACCCTGCTAGCAACGGGAGTGGGGGGAGTGCTCAGTTGGCAGTTCGGTGCTTTCACGCATCTGATGGGGAGTCCATGGTCACTGGGTGCTCAGATTGGAACTGGTTTAGTGGCTGGAATCTTGTCGTTAGTATGCGACGGCGTGCTGCATGAAATCTTGAAGCGAACGCTAGGACAGACATATCTGGAAGCATTCAATCATTATGGTCGCGTGGTGTTGGGCAGGATGCGTTTGCCCGAGTACATCACCGGTGGGTTGATGGCAGCCCTTGTTGAGGAGCCGCTCTTTCGGGGTACACTGTTGATGGCTATAGACCGAGGTGTCCTTGGAGTTGTGATTACGGGGCTGTTATTTGCTGCTTGTCACTGGCTACGACGGGAGTTTTTGTTGTTTTGGTTTTGGGCAATGCTGGAGGGAATCTGGTTCGGACTTCTGATGGTCAGTACTGGATCGCTACTGATCCCGATGATTGCACACGGGCTCCACGATATCGTGGGCTATCGTATTTTCCAAGCGATGATTCGAGACGGAAATTTGGCTTGACAACTCTCTTTCCCGATGGGTATAATTAGGTTACTTAGACTGCCCCTGTGGTGGAATTTGGTATACACGGCAGGTTGAGGGCCTGTGCCTTAATTGGCATGCTGGTTCGAGTCCAGTCGGGGGCATTATGAATTCGAGTGGTACTAGCAACTGCTAAAGAATTTGAGGGGTAGGGATGGTGCTATAGCGATTCCTACCCCTTTTTCTATTTAGATTCGACAAACAGTGTGTGAAAATGGTATCAATTCAATTGTGCTCGAATCCAACTTGGGCAAAACTACGTCAGAATTGAAGGATTTGCAGGATAAAAATCCTGATGACCTATTGAAACCGATCTTTTCAATCTTAAAGGTTCTAAAAAAATCAAATTGCAAAACCGATAGGAATCAAGTATCATACTAACCGTTTTACGTTGAACTGACTACATACATACAAACAGGAGAGATTTCCATGATTGTTTTTCTAGCGGGAGAAATTTATCGCACAGATTTTCTTGATCGTTGTTGGCATTGCTTTTCTTATTGGCTCGTTTCTGCTCTTTGACATTGTCGGTGGGGATGGTGTGTTGGGGGGAGGTAGAGAGAGCGCAGTCGCTTTCGAGATCAATGGTGTCAAAATACAACAACGCGAATTTGAAAACCTTGTCTCCAGTGAAATGACCCGGCAACAGCAACAGAGCCAAAACCGCTCTCAGATTGAACGTGAGGAGATTGAACAACAGATTCTCGATCTGCTCATTAGTCGTCAGGTACTGCTTGGCAGCGTCCAGATTAGTAATGCAGAGGTCGAACAATATATCCGTAATGATGACAACCTACTATCTAACTATAATGCAATTCAGCAGAGTGGCAGTGGAGATGATTTTCGTCAGTATGTTCGTTCTCTCTTGATTAATCAGGTTCTGCTGAATCAGATTCAAGGACTGGAACTGGTCACGGATGCAGAAGTGGAAAATGAATATCGCCGCCAGAACACAAAAGCCAAACTCAAGTACATTCAGTTCCAGCATTTCGGGTACAATGGTGCCGCTAAAGTCGATGATGCCGAGGCACAAGCCTATTTTGAGGTGCACAAGGAGAAATATGAAAAGGGGGAGGAGAGTCAGTCTAAGGTTCATCAAACTCGATCCGATAAACTTCATTTCGGGCGAGGACCTGCAAGCCTATTATAATGAGCATCAACAGGAGTTTAAGACACCGGAAGCGGTAAAAGCGCGCCATATCTTGAAAAAGTTTCCCAGATAATGCAACTGATGAGCAGAAGGCGGAGGTCAAGGCAGAAGCGGAGAAAGTTGCTTGAAACGGTCAAGAGCTGCGATTGCCGAGGGAGAGGATTTTGCTGAACTTGCAAAGAGACATTCCGAAGATGCCGGCTCGGCTCCACAGGGAGGAGCATTGCGCGGAAGAAACCCAGATCTGCCACTGGGAGACTATTTTGCACGCGGCGACATGGTGCAACCCTTTGAGCAGGCAGCGTTTGACGAGTTAGCTCCCGGTGAGGTGAGCGATCTGGTTGAATCCAGATTCGGATACCACATCATCAAGTTGGAAGAAAAGCGACCGGAAGAAGTTCAGCCCTTTGCTCAGCAAGAAGCGAAATCAATGATAAGTTGATTCAAATTGTAGGTGCAGAACAGGCGGAGGCAGTCGCGGAAAATCTCTTGTTTGATGTGGAGATTCTTGACTATCAAGAAGCAATCCAACTGGATAGATACAAAGATTTATCGTTTACAGTTCAGGACACAGGATTCTTTACAGCGGCTGATAATAACATCCCCAAAATTGGAATAAAGTGGACGTATCAAGATGTGATTGATCAAGCCTTAGATATGGAGGTGAATGTCAGTGTGATCAGTACAAATAGGAAACAAAATGGGGATATTGACGCCTACTTTGTGATGAAAGTCCTCGAAAAGAAACACGCCACAGTTCCCGAATTTGAAGCGGTCAAGGCACAGGTGATTGATGATATCAAAGGGGAGAAGGCAAAGCAGCTGGCTCTAGAAGACGCCCAGAGACTAGTAACACTCCGTGCACCTGATGAATCGCTGGAAGATTTGGTGAAAAGGTATGAGGCACCCGAAGAGATTACCAATAAAGAACGGGAAGCTAAGGAGAGTAATCTGTTCGCCCTCTCACCGAACAGCGGGTTCATTTCAGGACTAGGGACGTGCCGGGACGCCATGTTTGCTGCTTTTAGCATGGAACTGAATGAGGTGCAGGGCGCGCTCCAAGGGGACAACAATGCCTATATCATCCAGTTGATTGAGCGCGAAGAACTGGATATGGAAAAGTTCAGGAATGATTCGGCAGAGCGTGCCAAGATTCGTAAAACGTTGCTGCGGGCCAAACAAACTGAGATTTACAGAAATTGGTTAGCTACCTTGAAAAAGGGTGCCCAGATTGTGGATAAACGTTCTGGGAGAGGTTGAAAGAGAGCGGATAGGCACAAAGAGTTACCCTTGAATCAAGGCAGCTTGAGGAGCGGATGGAGCTTAAGGAGATAGCGCGAAATAGGAAGATTTGGGGGTTGCCTCCCTCGCATACAGCTTTGTTGCCAACTGCTTCAGTCCAAAAGCCCGTCTGCTTTCATCCATCCAATTGTCTGATCAAACGCCGCAATTGTCTGTTGTATATCTTCGTCGCTATGTGCTGCCGTCGTCAGCCCGCCATTTCCAGCGATGTCGATTCCGTTCAGCAACATTCCACAACGCAGATTCATTGTGAGTTTCGCGTTGCTACCGCCTTTCAGTGGTGAGGCTCCCAATTGTAGGGATCGAAATCGGCGGCACGCAATCCATCAACACCATGCCCGATGAGAAACTTCACCCCAGAAAACTCGCCGTAGACCGCCCAATCGAGCTTGTGTTGATCAATTACATCAACCAGCCCTTCCCGCAACATTTTCGCACTACGGTTGACCTTTTCATGTGGGACACCTGTCTTGACTTGCCTCAGCATTGCAATCCCAGCGGCAGCGGATAACGGGTTGGCGTTAAAGGTTCCGGGATGCGGCATCCTTTGTCCGCGTGAATTCGATTTTGAAGCTTTGATCGAGATGAGATTTAGCAACTCTTCTTTTCCAGCAACCGCGCCACCCGGCAGACCACCTGCCAAGATTTTGGCGAGCGTCGTAAGGTCAGGCGTGATATTATAGTATCCCTGTGCACCGCCCGGAGAGACACGAAAACCGGAGATCACTTCGTCGAAGATTAAAATAACGCCGTGATCCTGCGTAATCTGCCGTAACTGCCGGAGGAACTCGCCGTTCGTCGGGATGGTCCCGAAGGCACCGCCTGTCGGTTCTAAGATAACACAAGCGATGTCCGGATCGGATTTCAGCTGCTTTTCAACCGCATCAATGTCGTTAGGTGGACAGATAACCGTCGTATCAATGACGCTTTCTGGAATACCGGGCACCGGTGTCTCAAACGGCGGATTCACGCCTAAAATAACGGAATCGTGCCAGCCGTGAAAATGTCCCGCAAATTTCAGGAATTTGTTTTTTCCCGTATGCATCCGTGCCAGCCGAATTGCCATTAAGGTCGCTTCCGTGCCGGAATTGACGAATCGTATCCGTTCCGCTGAAGGAATCAGTTCCTGCACGAGGCCACCCCACTCTACCTCAAGTGCATGACAAGCACCATAGTGTGTTCCGCGCGGCATCTGCTGCGTGACAGCTTCAACAATTTCAGGCGGGCTATGACCGAGTAGCAACGCTCCATGTCCTGACCAATAATCAATCAATTCAATCTCGTCAACGCTCCACTTTTTTGATCCTTGTGCACGATTGATATAAATTGGAAATGGTTCTGTGTGCCGGTTATCGTGCGTCACACCATCAGGAAAATATGGTCTGCTTGTTGAGCGAAGTCTCTGTTTTTTGAAAAAGTTTTTTGATATTTTTCTAGGATTGTATGGGTTGACATCGTTTTTCTCCTTGTGTCGAGTAGAAGGTGAGAATCCCTATATTCTTTTGTTGATAGAGAGTTCTGTTTGTCGTAAATCTGTATTTGGACGAAGAAGGTCTTCTAAAATATGATAGTCGTGGTCAAATGCCAATTCGGGCAGCGCATCGGGGACAAAAAGGTGTGCATCCAACGCTTCCGCACGACCCGCCGGAGTTCCTGCGACGATTCGTCCAACATAAATAATAAGAACAACCGTCCGGCTATCGTTGGAGTAAACCCCTAGCAGCCCATCCAATTCGACATCAACATCCGCCTCTTCTTTCGCTTCTCGCACGGCTGTCTCTGCCGGCGTGTCGCCAATATCGACATACCCTGTCGGGAAACTCCATAGGCCCAGTTTTGGCTCATTCCCCCGCTGTATCAGCAACAGTTTTTCGTCCTTGAATGCGAGGACGCCGGCGACAGGCTTTGGATCGCGATAGAAAACGAAATCGCACGTCGTGCATGCCTGACGCGCCTTTCCTTCAAGGATTCGCTCTTCAAGGGCACTTGCACATTTCGGGCAGAATTTCAGCCCTGATTGCGTTTGATTGGTTGTATGGGAAGTATCTGTTGTGGAAGCGGTCACGATTCAGGACAACTCCGAGCAGTTTGTTGAACAAAAAGATGAAAGATAGAACGTAGTGACAATGGGCTAATGATACAACAAATAGGCAGAGATGTCAATTATTGATTGTGGGAATCGTGTGCCTTGACAGGCGAAGTTTCAATTGTACGGTAATAGCCTCGTCCCGAAAAAGAGAGGAGTGAGTTGATAAATTGATGGATTGTGTGTCAGATAATACACAGGATACAAGACTATTAGACAACACAGAACTTCCGATTGCGTCATTGCGTCCAGCGTTTCAAAACGCCTTTACAACTCAACCGCTGATCATCACAGCGCCTACCGGCAGTGGGAAGTCCACAATGGTTCCACTCTGGTGCGCAGAATTGTCGGGCCGCCCAACCTTAGTCTTGGAACCGCGGCGGGTTGCCTGTCGCTCACTCGCCCGTTGGTTGTCGAAACTCCGGGGAGAGCCGTTAGGAACCTCAGTGGGTTACACAGTGAGGTTTGAGGATGTAGGTTCTGAGACAACACAAATCCGATTTGTCACGCCGGGTGTTGCCCTGCGCTATACAGCGGATGGAGAACTTGATAGATATGGGACAATCATACTTGACGAGTTCCATGAGCGTGGACTGGAATCGGATCTCTTTCTAGCGATTTGCCGGAAGAAACACCCGGATGCCCGACTCATCCTGATGTCCGCGACGATAGATGCCCAAAAGTTTGCTCGATTTGTCGGCGGAAAATCGTTGTCCGCGGAGGGGAGAGCCTACCCGGTTGATGTGCATTACCTCGGTGATGTCACCGTTCCGACAGCGTGGCGGTTGGAGGAGCGTGTGGCACGGGGAGTACTTCGAGCGTTGAGAGAAACAGATGGAAACATACTGGTTTTCCTGCCGGGAAAAGGAGAAATTTTCGCATGTCTTGATGAATTGCGTCACCTCAGAAATGTCGAGATCTTGCCGTTACACGGCGATCTGCCGACAACGGAACAGGACAAGGTTTTTGAGGAGACGACACGCCGCCGTGTGATCCTGTCAACAAATGTTGCTGAAACCTCCATCACATTGCCGGGCGTAACAGCGGTTATAGACACAGGATTGGTGCGTCAGCGCGTCCATCAAGCGCAGCGGGTTGTTCTGGCACTGTGTCCTATATCGCAGGCTTCCGCTGAACAGCGACGCGGACGGGCGGGGAGACTCATGCCGGGTGTGTGCTACCGGCTGTGGGAAGAACGGGGGCAACTTGAAAGGGAGACGCCTCCCGAAATCGTACGAGAGGACCTAGCACAGTTTGTGCTTGCAGTTGCCGCAGCCGGATTTCGCCCACAGGACTTGGGATTTCTCGATGCACCACCGGCTTTTGCCGTTGAACGTGCTCAAGAACAATTGGTAGAATGGGGCATCCTCTCTCAGGAAGGAACGCTGACCGATTTTGGGCGAAAGTTATCTGTGCTTCCTATTGATGTTTCTTATGCACGGTTACTGGTCAAGGCGCCTGCTTCCGTCCGTCGAGACCTCATTGACCTGATCGCTACGCTGGAACGTCCTGCACCGTTGTGGCGGAAATTGGATCGACTTTCACCCGAAGAGATACATGCTATCTCCGAAGCACGGCGCAAAGATTTGATGCGTAATCATTGCGATGCCACAGCCCTGATTCTGACTTTACGGCACGGCAATCCAAAACGTCACCATCTCCATGGCGCAGCTATCGCGGAATGTCGCCGAATTGCCTTCCAACTTCGCTCGCTTTTTGATGTGCCAACCTTGGAGGAAGATCGAGGGATTGTCCAACCGGATCGGCTTAAGCTCGTGCGTTATCTGTTACGGGAATCGTCGGATTGTGCCTATGTGCGACGGCGCAAGGGGGACGCGTGGGGAAATGGTCGAGATGAAGTATTCCTAGATTCCAGTTCACTCATTCGTTCAGAGGTACACGCCGCACTTATTCTCGAAAAGGAAGGGCTTGCGAAAGGCACACGCGTGCAACTCTTGGGACGTACCGCTCTCCCTTGCACCTTTGCAGATTTGCAGGAGGCCGGGTTAGGGTGCTCTCACTTGGAGGCACCAACCTTAGTTGAAAATGAAATCATCGGGCATGTGCGTTTTGTATACGCCGGTCGAGAGATTGGCAGGGAGCGTCAACTGCTAACCGGCGCATTGCTCAGAGAGGCTATTGCAGCTTTTCTCCTTTCAGGACGTTTATTTCCGGAGGTAGGAGAATGTCTGATTGAGCGCATCAACGCCTACAATCTCCATCTAGCGATGAAAGGAGACGCTGCCATAGTGGAACCTCATGCGTGGTTGGTCTCACACCTCACCGACTTGGATGTTGAAGCCGCACAGGATTGGCTGCTGTTATCGCCAAATGATTTTGTATTTACGCTAATTGACGAGGGGACGTTCGCGAAAATCAATGAAAGTTATCCACAAACATTCTCAATGAATGGCGCGAAATTTGGAGTTCAATATGAGCCTCATGAGCAGCGAGTCACGCTGAAGTGGGCAGGAGGCGTCCGGCATCCACAATCAGTCCATGGATGCTACCCCGTTGGGAAAATTGGAAGGTACAGGTAGATATTCGCGGGCAACTCAGGACGCTACGTTAATAAAAATTGAATTGAAAACGAAGGCAAAATGATTTCAGCTATTGATATTCTATAATTAGGGTGAAAATAATGAAACGTTTTCTGTATAGAGTTCGTTGATATAATCCCCGGATAGTGACTTCTGACCACATTTATGAACTCAGATTATTCTATCCCGATGCAAGGTCATACTATGATCCGAGGCACGTGTACGTTAAGTTAATAAAAATAGGGTGCAGAAACATAAATAATGCGCTTGCGTTACTTTCGATATCTGTGCTATACTATCCGTTATTCATATAATAATAATGCAATTATACTTCAAAGTCTTTATATAAATGGAGGATTCATTGAAAAACGCATATACGATTCTACTGATGTCATCTAATCAAGATTCAGTACGGCAATTCTCGATTAACCGCTGGCTTGCGTTATCCCTAGGTCTTTTTTTCTGTCTGGTATTTTCTTTAACGATTAATTTTGCTGTTTCAGGGATAAAACACGGTATCCGTTACCGGGCGGAGTTACAAGGTGAAGTTGCAAGTAGGGAGGAGCTTGAAAACGCAGTTAGAAATTATAAAGAAGAACACCAATCGATTCAGAAAGAAATTCAAGATGTCCGCAAAATGAACAAAACGATACGTAGAGTATTTAGGTATTGATTCAGAAATCGGTGTTCTCGGGCGAGGGGGCGGTGGTTCCAGCACCGAAGAAGTGAACGATGATGAATTAACGAATCCGATTATAGAACCGCAACCTGCTCCAACACCAGCCCATACAGAGGTCGCAAAAGGTGCCCTAATTGATCAAATTGTAGCAAGTAAAAAGAGAACTTATACCGATCTATGATCGCGCTAGAGAAGCTGACAGGGCTCTATGAAACACCTTGGATTCTGCCGATTTTGGTGTCAAATGAGGACGAAGATCTAGCTATTGGTTCTCTTCCGGGTTCGGACGCCGCCCACATCCGTTGACGGGGAAACTTCAATTTCATAACGGATTGGATATTGCAGCACCTTGGGCAACCCCCGTGATTGCTACTGCCAATGGTGTTATAGAGAAATGCATGAAAGATCCATTTTTTGGTAATATGGTTCAGATTGAGCATAAGACCTCACAGATGAAAACTTTATACGGACACCTAAAAAGTCACGCTGACGGTCTCCAAGTTGGACAAAGCAGGTCAAGCGCGGTGAAATTATCGGTTATGTCGGGAATAGCGGCAGAAGCACCGGTACCCATTTGCACTACGGTGTGTACGCCAACGGCAAATGGCAGAACCCCCAATACCATATTATCCTTGATGATCCTATAAACTAAGCGTGTACGACCTCTAAGTACCCAACCATGATAGCAAAGATGAGAGGCAAAACTCGCTCTCACAACTCTTTGCTCCCACCCTCCATACTTCGACACCGGTCCCCATACTTAATAATAGTATAATAACCTCCAAACTATGCGTAAATACTGAAGTAAAACCATAGGCTTTACACTTCTTCCTCAAATTGGGGGAAGGGAGGGACGAATGAAAGAATGGAAAGGGAGACAAAAGTCCCGTCTCCTCATTTTCTCTTTTCTCCTCATGGCTGTATCGCCTCAGTATCTTCCTGCTGAATGGATAGAGGATGCCAGTCAAAATCTACCAATCTGCACCGCAGCGGAGGATCAGCATTTCCCCGACATGATTTCTGATAACCACGGTGGCGTCATTGTTGCGTGGCGCGATGTTAGGAACGGCAATCGGGATGTGTTCGCGCAACGAATCAGCGCAAACGGCGAGATGCTGTGG